ATCGAACCATCCCACCTCTCCATCCAAGCCTCCATGTCCTCGAGAGCCTGCAAGCAGCTGACATCGCGAACATAACGTGAAGCAAACGGATTCGCCTCTTTGGTGATCGTGCCATCGCATGTCGTAGGTTTCGAATGCTCAGCGACCGAAAAGAGCAGCAATAACTTTGGCGTCATCATTGGGCCATCGAATGATCGCCTGATACCGTCGCAATCGCTGCATGAGTAATTCGCATATTGTGGGAATGTGTTCCAAATAGTTCCAAGTGCATAGAGAGCTCCAGGTGCGAGGATGTGGCCCAGACCAGTCGCAAGCTGCACCCAGGGCGATCGAACGAATCTTACCCACCAGGCGTGAGTCCAGCTCTCGTTCTTGCGCCGACGATAGCAGGAACGGGGTGAGGCCAGACAGAAGGGCGCCCTGGACAACACTAGTGAATATCAACCTCTTAACCTTCCAGGGAGCCCCACTAGCCCAGAAATCCTTGCAAGCACACCAGTCTCGAGCAGCATTATTTTTCGACACCGCTCGGGTCGGCGCTGGGGCCCCCTGGCGGCGCTTCCGGCGCCGCCCCTGGCGCCTAGCGCGGATTCAAGAAGTCCGCGCGGACCGCAGGGTTGTTACGTTTATGCCATTGTTCATTTCTTACAAGAGGCCCCCAGGAGAGCTCCAAGATGCGCCCACGAGGCGTCCCGAGCGGCTCTTGGGGGCATGCGCGAGCCTCGGAAGCGCATCGGAAGCGGAGGTGCGAGAACACAAATATCATACACTGTCCCGAGGTGTTGCAATGATTCTGGGTTTTCGAGGGTTTCCTTAGAGCTCTGAGGGGACTCTTGGAGGCCTCTTGGGGTGATCATGGGTGATATTGGTGGCCTCCAAAGCCAACTTGAAAAACAGGGAATTCCCTCAACTCCGTTTGTTTTCAAGTTCGCCCCCCTGGCCTCCCCTCCGTTCCCCAGGGTGCGTTTCCGTTTTCCCCATCCCTCGTTGTCCGTTCTCTTGGCCATCTCTCCTGCACTTGGTTCTCCTCCGTCTCCCGTTCCACATCTTTCTCCTTCCTCTCCTCCTCCCCCTTCTCCGCTGCGTCATTTTCCGGTCTCTCCTTCACGCCGTCTTCCCTCCGCCTCCCGCATGCGTTTCCATCTTCCCCATCCTTCATCTTCATCTCTCCTTCACTCCTTCCTTCCTCCGCCTCCCTCGCCCAGCATCCTGCTCCACTGTGCGGTGTGAGGCCAAGCTAAAAAAAGAATTCCCGCAAATCCTTTTGTTTTTGGTTCTACCCATCCCCTCCGTTCCCCCCTGTCCCAAGCTTCGACGTCACCCCGAGTGCGTTTCTGGTTTTCCCATCACTCGCTGTCCGTTCTCCCTGATCTCTCTTTCCTACTCGTGGTTCTCTTCCGTCTCCCGTTCTATATCCTTTTCTTTTCTCTCTTCCTTCCTCCCCGATGCGTCATTTTCCCTCCTCCATTTCCCTCGTCTCTCCTTCACGCCTTCCTTTCTCTGCCTCCCTCATGCGCTTCCGTCTCACCAGCCCCTTGCAGCCTGTTCTCCTTGATACCGTCCTTGCTCATAGTTCTCCTGCTTCTCCCGTTCCACGTCCTTTTCCTTCTTCTCTCCCTCCCTCATCCCCGCTGCATCCAGGTTCCTCTTCCCTCTTCCTCGTTTTTCTTTCACGCTTGTTTTTTCAACGAGGTTGGCCTCTTTAAGGCTTCCCTTGAGCTCTTGGGGGACTCCTGGAGGCTTCGTAGGGCGATCTCGGCGCTCTTGGAGGTCTCCAGGGCCAATTTGAAAAAAGGTGGTTCATCAACTCCTTTATTGGAGAGGCCTGACGGCCGGTGCCGCCGACCCTGATCGAACGGGCTAGGAGTGGGGGGAGGAAGCGGAGGATGATGATGATGAGGAGGAGGAGGAGGAGGAGGAGAAGGAGGAGGAGCAGGAGGAGGAGGAGGAGAAGGAGGAGGAGGAGGAAGAGGAGGAGGAGGAGGAGGAGGAGGAAGTGCATCCCCGGAGTGTGATATTCTGACTTGGGACGTGTTCCCGGAAGAGGAAGAAGTGCATCTCGGGCGTGCCCGCTCGAGGAAAATGCGCCCTAGGGGGGGTGGTATTTTGACTCGGGGCCCGCTCCCGGGACGCCTCTGCGGGAGAAGGAGGAGGAGGAGGAGGAGGAGGAGGAGGAGGAGGAAAAGGAGGAGAGGAGCAGGAGGAGGAGGAGGAGGAGGAGGAGGAAAATGAGGAGGAGGAGGAGGAGGAGGAGGAGGAGGACCAGGAGGAGGAGGAGGAAGTGCATCCCGTGCGTGCCCGCTCGAGGAAAGTGCGCCCCGGCGGGCGTCGTATCTGCCTCGCCCCCCCCCCCCTCCCCCCCCCCCCTGCGGGGAAGGGATCAAAAGGAAGGGGCTTCCCTTCGACTCCACTACGACGTCGTTTAATTTCTTTGGATAGCGCGCCTGAGGAGGAGAGCCCTGGGAGGGGAAGAACGGAGACGACGGAGACGACGAGTCGAACGGAGAAGCCCCTCACACACGCCGACAGGGTCGACGGATTTTCGAGGTCGCCCCCCTCCATCTATTCCTTCCTGTCCCAGGCTTTGGCGTGCCCCAGAGCGTTTCCGTGTTCCCCATCCCTCGCTGTCCGTTCGTGTTGATCTCTCTTTCTTGTTTTTGGTTCTCCTCTGTCTCCCGCTCCACATTTTTCTGTTTCCATTTCTCTTTTCTCATCCCTGATGCGTCATGTTCCCTCCTCCTTCCTCCTCGTCTCTCCATCACGCCTTCTTTTCTCCGCCCCCCTGAAGCTTTTTAGGTTTTCCAACGCTCCAGGACGACCCAGGAGGTCCACAAGACAGCACCAAGACAGCCCAGGAGGTACCCGCGACAGCCCGAATACGACCCAATCGAGCGCCAAGACGGCCCAAGAGGCCACCAAGACGGTCCAGGAGGCCCTGAAGACGGCCCCAAGACAGGGGCAAGAGCGGGGATCCAACCCGACACTTTGCGCCCAGACGCCAAGAGCCGGGGGGAGGCTCCCGAGGCGCCCCCAGAAAATCCCAAGAGGCCACCAGGAGACCCCCAACAGAATGCAGAGAGGCCCCACCCCCCAAGGCACCCCGAAGAGCCTTCCAAGAACGTCCTCCGAAAGGCGTCTAAAGAGACTCCCAGCAAGGCTTTGCCAGGCTCTTAGGGGCTCTCGGGCATCCCCCCTTAGGCTGCCCTGGGTCCTCCTCGTGGCTGCCTTTCGCGACTTCCTGGAGCCTTATTCAGCGAATCCTGAAGCGTCCATCAGGGAGTACGATCCCATAATTATGGTGACCCTTGCGAGGTGATCTCCATCCTCATCCGATCCTGTGAGGTTGGCTTGTACTGCGCTTGAACCCTAGCGCGCGCGAAGTGCGCATGTGCTTCTGGTGTCGAATCAATGCGGGGCAATCTCCGCAATGCAATCGATGCGGTGCAATCTGAGGTCGCACCACATTGGTTGCACTAATCTGAGGTCACACCACATTGGTTGCGCCCATGTGTGCTGTGATATGCTAAGCTGTGCGACGCTATTGTATGCTATGCTGCGGTAAGCTGTTCTATACTGTGTTATGCTGCGGTATGCTATGTGAGCGGACGAGTGCAGGTGGCGGCGACGGGCGGCGACGAGCAGGCCAGATCCGCACCGGGGCCCAGTGCAAGTGGCGGCGACGAGCCAGCCAGACTGGCAGCGGGGCCCAGTTGTTTTAGAACAGGAGTAAGAAGCCCTAGGTGCAAGCACCGTGTGGAACACACACCTGTACCCGTATATGTAGATGCATGTGTATACATACACATATGTGTATGCATGCTCCTATGCACACAGACATCTAGTCCCTGAGAAGTTGTTTTATGTTTGGGCTCTTACTTCTAGAACGAGGAACTGGGCCTGCGGGCCGCTCTGGTCGCCATGTCGCCGCCTCGTCGCCTCCTGTCCTCGCCCGTCGCCTGGGTCTGCGGGCCGCTCTGGCCACCATAACGCTGCCGTCGCCGCCTCGTCGCCGCCCGTCGCCCGGGCCTGCGGGCAGCTCTGGGCGCCATGTCGCAGCCGTCGCCGCCTCGTCGCCGCCTCGTCGCCGCCCGTCGCCTAGGCCTGCGGGTCGCTCTGGCCACCATGTCGCCGCCATCGCTGCCTTGTCGCCGCCCGCCGCCGCCAGTCGCCTGAGCCTCCGGGCCGGTCTGGCCGCTATGTCGCCGCCGTCGCCGCATCGTCGCCGCCCGTCGCCTGAGCGTGCGAGCCGCTCTGGCCGCCATGTCGCCGCCGTCGCCGCCTCGTCGTAGCCCGCCGCCTCGTCGCCGCCCGATTGCGTTGCTGGGTGTTGCATTACATTGCGTTGCATTGAGTTGTAGTGCTTTGCGTTGAATTTCGCTACGTTGTGTTACTTCGCATTGCGTTAAGTTGATTGACATCGCGTTGCATTGATATGCATTGCGTTACATTGCTTTGCATGGCTTTTTCGTTTCTCCATTGCGTTGCATTGTTTTGCATTGATTTGCAATGGCATTGCGTTGCATTGCTTCGCATCGTTTTGCACTGCTTTGCATTGCTTGCCACCACATAGATTGCACCACCTTGATTGCACCACATTGATTGCACCGCCTGGGCTGCACCGCATATATTGTAAGAAGACGCTGTTTGGGGTCTACGCTGGATGGCATGATGTATATGTACACATTCAGGACCCTGCCTGTTAAGTTGTTCAGGGAAGCATTGAGACGTCACCATGTCTGGTTTCAGGGTTTGGGAAGTCGCCTACACAGCTACGCTGCAGAGTATCGCATAAGGAACATGGGCGGCACATGCACGCGTATGTGCTTGATGTTCCGCAAGCCTGATATATGTGATACCTGTCATACTACGACGTGCCAAATACCCCGATCACGCATATGGGATTCCTCTGCGACGGCACAGTCAGTACCCCAGAATTTGAAGTTGATGATCTGAGAGAGGTCTGAGAAATAGACCGGTGGATTTTCTACGCAGCTGCGGGCATGGGTTCTTGGACACAGTTGCTGGTCGAGGATCCCAAGGCGGGCAAGGCTAAGTACCGTCTGAGGGGCAAGTCAATCAAATTGAATGTGGCCGACAAGATAAAGCGCGGCCATGATGGCCTGTTTGATTCGCTGGGCTCAAAACAGTTGAGGATAGTCATGCCGTACCACGCTCGAGAGGATATCTTCAACGACGCGTCGGATGTGGCCAAGAGGCTTGGCTCCGAGTTCCCGAGGCTCGACATGAGTAACAGCAACATCAAATACTGCCAACTGGCTCGCGGCGAGGCGGACCTTCTCTGGTACATGACCACGGGCCTGTACGAGAAGGAGACCAATGAACCCGTTGCTCACCATGTGGCAGGAGTACTGCTCGCCGAGGAAGCGGGTGCTCAGGTCGCAGACCTGGACGGCAAGCCAATCCAATGGTGCGGCTCGAAGATGAGCGAGAACAGGGGGATCATCGTAACTGACCCGAGCATACTGATGATCGAGGGTGTTGTCAATGCCGTGAGGGATGGCACCGTGACGTCCATAGAGGAGTACGACAAGAGGTGCGAGAAGCGGCAAGAGATCAACAACGACATGCGGAAAATATTCGACACGATGGGCAAACTGACCAGCGGGGACGAGAAGACCATCCGCGAAGCAAAGGAGAGGAACCTCCTAGATGACGAGAACGAGTTCAAGAACGAGAAGAAGGGGCGCCCTGGGAGGGCGGAGAAGCGCACACGCGGTCGCAACCCTTCGGACGCCCCCCGGAGGGCTTCTCCGCCCGTGCGGGACCCCCTTCCCATACCCAGCCCTGACGCACGAGTCCGGACGCAAACGAATCTGGGGCACAGGAAGGATTATGGTTCTCGGGCCGCTCGTCAGCTCCAAGTCGACGGAGCATGAACACGCCGCCGTTTGGGGGCCCGTCAGCGTGTGACCATTCAGTGTTCATCAGAAGACGTTGTCTTTATTCCACTGTCCCTGACATCCGGCGTCGTGCATTTTCTCACGGCGTGGCTCCCCAGAGGTCTGGACCCCTTTCCCGGGACCGGCTTGTCATCCCGAGCTATAGTCTTGACGGTCCCGGGGACCGACCCTACATGCTGCTCGCGTCGTCGTCGTCGTCGCTTGTCGCTCGTCGCTCGTCGCGTCGTGCGCGCGGGCGCGCCTGTGGTGCCGGGGCCACACGGCGGGGGGGGGGGGCGTTACGTCATACCCCCCCCCGCCCTCCCCCTCCCCCCCCATGACGCCCGTCATCGCCGAGCACAAAGAAACGCTCTCCAAGGGCCCCCAGAGGACGAGCATTGCCAAACCCTGTGCGTCGTGCTCCGTCGCCGCGAGAGGATGTCAGGGGGCCGTGCGCCGACGGGCTCCCCACGGCGGCGTGTCAGCTCGGAGGCCTGGAGCTTGGCACCAGCGCCAGGATCGGCGGTGCGCCTCCGCCGAGGGACGACGATCCCGATCTCGGTAATCCTCCACCTCCTCCTCGTCTTCCTCCCCCTCCAACATGTAGGATCACCCTCCCCCACTGGAGGCGCCCCCGCCGAGGGAAGATGATCCCGATCTCGATAGTGGTGGTCGCACTCGGGCTTCCAAGGTGGCCGACATATCGCCAAGAGGGGGAGCAGGTGGGAGGGGCGGGGGGAGGCTTCTTAGAAGGAGGCGGCTCCTCAGAAGGCGCGGGCCATGTCTGTCGATGTAAGGCCCGCGCCTTTGAGAAGCAGGCGCTTGCCAAGAAGCCTGCCCCCCCCCCCCTCCCCCCCTACCCCGCTTCTGCGCGTGGCCGAAACTGGGCACCCACACCAGCACAGCGGGGGCGCCTCAAGTGGGGGAGGGTGATCCTACATATTGGAGGAGGAGGAGGAGGAGGAGGAGGAGGAGGAGGAGGAGGAGGAGGAGAGGGAGGAGGAGGATGAGGAGGAGGAGGAGGAGGAGGAGGATTACCGAGATCGGGATCATCTTCCCTCGGCGGAGGCGCACCGCCGTCACCTCGGAGCCTCCAGCCGTCGGCCCTGCCTTCGCCCCCTCCCCGCGAAGCGCGCCGAGGGCGCGGAGCCGAGGGTGCGGAGCCTGGCGGGGCAGGGGGGCTGCTTCGGCGCTGCCCGCGGAGGCCGCCCGCAGATGCCCAGGGGGCCTGCTCGATGTCGATGGGCCTCGCGGACGTCGTCGTCGTCGTCGTCGTCGTCGTCGTCGTCGTCGTCGTCGTCGTCGTCGTCGTCGCGAGGGGTGCGGGGCCCGGGCGTGGCCTCTCCGCGCCCGCGCGGGCTCGGTCGCCGCGGCCCTGCGCACGCCGAGGGGCCCTGCGCGGTTCCTGACGTCTTCGCGGGCGTGGAAGAGCCACGGCGGGAGGCACGCTGCTGCCCTCGGCCTCGGGGCAGGGTCTGGGCTCCCTGAGGCTTCCTTCTCGTTGGGCTCCTCCTTTGAGAGCTGTCGATGGCGGGCTCTTCTGCTCACGCCTCCTGACAGATGCCCGGCTCAGTGGTGGTGGCGGCCTCTCGGGGCCCTTGCCGGGCCGCTGGACTGTCAAACAACGATTCGGGGTGAAACGCCGGCCTCGGAGAAGGGGTCCAGGCCTCTGGAGAGCCACTTCGCGGACACCTTCTTGGGGCATCCAGGCATGGTAAGGCTTCGGGGTGCGCACGGACAGGCCACCCAGGTGGTCCCAGCCTGCCTCAAGAGGCTCCCCGAGAAGCCTGGGGCGGTCTCAACACACTGGCGCCGCCTCCCGCTGCGTCCCTGGGGCGCCCCGCACCCTAGTGGAGGGTGTGTGGAGACAGCGCCCGACTTCTTGGGGGACCTGTTGGGGCCAGTTGGGACTACCTGGGGGGGCTGTCTGTGCGCAGCCCGAAACCTTACCACCTCCAGGTTCGAGTCGGCCACGAAAAGCATAGAGAAGTACCTGGATGACGATCGGCAGATGAACGAGCTTGCCAATGACGCGATACGCAGTACGAAACCCATGCTCGGCAACCGGTCTCCCGAGCGCACCTGATCGGGCCGTCGCGTGCGCGAGCGCGGCAGGGTTTTGCTCCGTAGTGTTTCGTCAGCTTATCGTCTTGTGTTTGGCCCTGTTTTTGTTTAGCGCAGGGCTTGCTCCTGCTCTGCACTGCGCTCCGAGCTGTGTCGAAAAGACCGATGTGCCCTCCCCGCTTCCGTCCCCTGTCGTCTCCCCTCCTCCTGTTCCTCCTTCTCCTCTGCCTCCTCCTCCTCTTCCTCCTCCTCCTCCTCCTCTTCCTCTCCCCCCCATCTCCCCCCCGCCCCCTTCCTCGCAGCTCTCCTCCTCTATTCTCAATCCCTTGCCTGAGAGGCCGTGGCGCCCGATCTATCCTTCAGACCCGCCAGCTTTCAAACGTCCCCGATGCTTGATTCCGAAAAGCGTGATGAAGTCACAAGCATGAGCGTTCCTCCATCGGGGTCAGGCACCCCTGGCGGGACCTCTGGCGCCCCTCCTGGCTCGGCGCTGGTTTCCACCACCACCCCTTCGCCAGGGGGGGCGGGGTGGGGGGAAGCCGGCGCCGAACCTCGAGTCCGCGCGGGCTCGAAAGGTGATGCTGCAGCGGTTGCTTGTGCTTCCAGGTCTTCGGCGGCGCGCCCCCGGGGGCAGACCTTCTCAGATGGCGGCGGGGCCTCTCGGAAGCCCTCGCGCCCCCTGAGGAGGCCCGTGTCTGCCGTCGGGGAGGGCTTCGAGAGCTCTCGGAAGCCCTCGCGCCCCCTGAGGAGGCTCGTGTCTGCCGTAGCCCTCGCGCCCCCTGAGGAGGCTCGTGTCTGCCGTCGGGGAGGGCATCGAGAGCTCTCGGAAGCCCTCGCGCCCCCTGAGGAGGCTCGTGTCTGCCGTCGGGGAGGGCTTCGAGAGCTCTCGGAAGCCCTCGCGCCCCCCGAGGAGGCTCGTGTCTGCCGTCGGGGAGGGCGTCGAGAGCTCTCGGAAGCCCTCGCGCCCCCTGAGGAGGCTCGTGTCTGCCGTCGGGGAGGGCTTCGAGAGCTCTCGGACGGCCCGAGGCCCTCGGAGCCTTCTGAGGAGGTCCTCTCCCGCTCCGCCCCCCTCCGGGCGCCGCCCTTCCCCCCGCCTCCCCGGGAGCATCGCGGGCGGCGTCTCGCCCCCGATTTTCTTGACACGCGCACACACAGAACTCCACCACGATCAACAGCAACAGCAGGAACCACAACAGCAGCATAAACCACAACACCAACAACAACAACGACACTTGTTTTGCTTCGGGTAATCCCCACCGAAACATTCGGCGCTTGTTCCCAAGAGTGCGCACGTCGCGTTTGGCCTGATATGGAATGATGTGTGCGTTGATGCTGTCCTGCGGTGTAATATATTATGCCATGGCGTCGTAGCGTGTAATGTGTCATGCCATTGTGTTATGGCTTGATGGTGTTATGCTTTGTTCTGCAATATCAAATATGTCATGCATTATGGTATCATCAAATACTGATTCCGCCATGCTATAACATAAGGAGACGCGCGTTGTCATGCTATGAGTTGTCATGTGTGCTGCGATGGATATCTCATGATATCTGTGATATGATGTTGTGTTATGGTGTGGTGTGTTGTGTCACGGTATGTTGTGGTATGGCATGTATTGTCATGCTATTGTATGGTATGTTCTGTTCAGGCGTGGTATGGATGCTCTGATGTGCCATAGCATGCGTTGTATTGCTGCGCTGTGCGACGGCATGTTGTGACGTGTTACGTGAATATTTGACATGCCATGTTTGGATAGTGCCAGTTATGTTATGCTGTCTGATGGTATGCTTGATTTGTCGTGGTATGTAATGCTTTGTGTTGTGATGTCGTTATCTGGTGTGCACTGTTTTGTCATGATGTGTTAGGCTTCGATCTGTTATGCCATTACATGGTATGGTTGCTTCGGACATGCCATGTTAGGTGGTGTGGTGTGAGTGTCTGTGCTGTCATAGCTTATAAGCTTGTGCTGTACTATGTACTGTTATGGTATGATTCGGCTCTGTAATGTTATGATTTGTCGGCGCGAGGCGGAACTCTCAGGGACACTGGGGGGACCTGGGAATCTGGCGGCCGCGGTATGCAGAGTGGCGCGAGGCGGGACACTTGGGGGCATTCAGAAGACCTGGGGATCTGGTTTCCGCGGTATGCAGGGTGGGCGAGTCGTCACGAGGTGGGACACTCGGGGACACTCGGGAGACCTAGGGATCTGGCGTCCGCGGTATGCAGAGTGGCGCGAGGCGGGACATTCGGAGACACTCGGGGGACTTGGGGATCTGGCGGCCGCGGTATGCAGAGTGGATGGGGCAGAGGGTCTGTTCCTAAAATCTAACGGGTCCAACCTATCAGGTTGGAGAAACACGTAGTTGAGAACGGCTGGAGGCCAGACGGAGGAGGAATAGCAAGTAGGGAGCAGGATGAAGAGGGAGGATGAGGAAGAGGAGGAGGAGGAGGACGAACAATAAGAAGGATGAGGAGGAGGAGGAGGACCAGCGTAAACGCAAGACTCATCAACGACGTTGGAGTTAACCTTCCCTCCAAACTCCCTCTTCATAGGCCCCTACGCGGGTTCATGTCCAATAATGGGAGTGCCCCGCTAGGAGACAACCGTTTGAAGATCTTGAAGCGTGTCAAAACAACGTTCTCGGGACTCCAACGCCACGAATCAATTTGACTGTTGCGGCGTGGCGATCCTGAACCGTGCCAGAACACCATATTTTGAAAACCGCCCTCCCTCAATCCGTTAAGCTTTTACAAATGATTAAGACGACTGTGTGCGGCGCTGAGGCGAGAGCCACATTTTGTAAAGGAAGCGCTCTCGACCCGTGAAACTCGGACAATGTGTTCAGACGACTGTGCGCGGATCTACTGCGACAGCCACATGCTGGAAGCCACCCGCCCTCATCTGTGAAGCTGGTGCCATTGTTTCTAAGCTTCAGGGTCACCAGTGGTAAGCCTCTGGCGAACAGGGCGCGGCAGGGAGGAGTTACTTGTAAGGAAACGTCGGCGGCGAGCGAGGAGGGGAAGTGAGAAGGAGAAGGCCTTCTCAGAAGGCTCGGAAGTCCCCTGGCTTTCTGAGAAGTTGTCTAAGCTTCCCCCGCAGACACAACAACAACTTCTCAGAAGGCGCGAGGGCTTCTGAGAAGTCCCGCCGCCTTCTGAGAAGGCCTTCTCCTTCTCATTCCCCCTCTCGCTCGCCGCCGAAACAGGAATGGCGTACCTGGGACGATGTGTCCTGGTCCGAGTTTGTCCCGATCCAGCCCTCGTCTCACGTCACACGCGAGCCTCCTGTCGGGCCGGCGCGCGCGGACGGAGAAGGAGGAGGAGAAGAAGGAGGAGGAGGAGCAGGAGGACGAGGAGGAGGAGAAGGAAGAGGAGGAGAAGGACGAGAAAGCGGAGGAGGAGGGGAGGAGGAGAGGGGGAGGAGGAGGAGGAGGAGGAGGAGGAGGAGGAGAGGAGGAGGAGGAGGAGGAGGCGGAGGAGGAGGAGAGGGAGGAGGAGGAGGAGGCGGAGGAGGAGGTAGGAGGAGGAGGAGGAGGAGGCGGGAGGAAGAGGTGGGGGGGGGGAGGGAGGAGGAGGAGGAGGAGGAGGAGGAGGAGGAGGAGGAAGAGGAGGAGGAGGAGGAGGAGAAAGAGGAGGAGGAGGAGGAGAAAGAGGAGGAGGAGGGAGGAGGAGGAGGAGGAGGAGGAGGAGGAGGAGGAGGAGGAGGAGGAGGAGGAGGAGGGAGGAGGAGGAGGAGGAGGAGGAGGGGGGGGGGAGGAGGAGGAGCAGGAGGAGGATGAGCAGGAGGAGGAGGAGGAGGACCACTTTAAACCCAAGAGTCATCATCGAAGTTGGATTATGCCCTCCCTCCAAGTTCCCTCTTCATTGGCCTCTACAACGGTTCATGTTCAAGTGCCTCGTTGGGAGACAACCGTGTGACGACCCTGAAGCATGCCAAAACATGGCTTTCGGGATTTCACCGCCACGGATCAACCTGACTGTTCCGCCTTGGCGATCCTGAATCGTGCCAGAACGCCATTCCTGGGACGTTCACACGGCGAATCAACATGATTTTTTGCACCCGCATAATCCTGAATCTTCCTAGAACGCAATTTCTGGTAAGTTGATGATCGGAATCCATGAAACTCTTGCACATGTTATAAACGAATGTACGCGGCGCTGAGGTGAGAGCCGCATTTTGAAAAGGAAGCGCCCTCAATACGTGAAACTCTTGCACATGTTTGAATCAACTGTGCGAAACGCGGAGGCGAGAGCCCCATTTGGAAAACGCGGTGTCTTTCAATCCGTGGAATTCTTGCAAATGCTTGAAACGAAGTGCGCAGCGCTGAGGCGAGAGCCACATTTTGAAAACGGGCCCCCCTCTATCCGTGAAGCTCTTGCAGATGTTTTAAACAAATGTGCGCGGCGCTCTGGCGAGAGCCACATTTTGACAACGGGCCCCCCTCAATCCGCGAAATTCTTGCATTTTATGAAAACGAATGCGCGCCGCGCTAAGGCGAGAGCCAAATTTTGAAAAACCACCCGGCCTCCATCTGTGAAGCTGTTGCAATTTTTGAGTTTCAGAACCATAAATGGTGAGGAAAGCCCAGCCCGCCCGAAAAATTGGCCCGGGGTGCGACAAGGAGAAGTTGTTGATAAGGAACAGGAATGGAAGATGAGGAGGAGGAGCAGGAGGAGGAGGAGGAGGAGGAAGAAGAGGGGGGGGGGGGGGGGGGGGGGGAGGAGGAGGGGGAGGAGAGGAGGAGGAGGAAGAGGAGGAGGAGGAGGAGGAGGAGGAGGAGGATAGGAGGAATAGGAGCAGGAGGAACGGACGCAGGCCGTCTGCTCCTCGTGGCGCGATGCCCTGCAGAACCCTCTCGAGGAGACGCGCGGCCGGGCTCCTGGCGCATTTCGCTGGGATCGACCTTCAAGCACCGGTGGCGACGATTGGGGCGAATATCCCAAGACCCCTCGAATCATTAAACAATCACGACGGGCGGATTTTCCATATGTTCGGCCTCTGATTTTTTGACTCAGGATCA